CTAAAGGAGGGTCAACCTTGTCATGCAGGACAAGATCGCCTGGCATCCATCCAGCAAGCCCTAACAGCTTCTCGCGCGACTGACCCATTTGCTGACGTTACGCTGTCGGATGTCGAGGAGGCAGCACCAGAACGTTCACTTATTGAGCTGAGCGACGATGACATTGAAGTTGATTGAGAATTATGATAGCTAAAGAGACTTCAGCGCAGACCGAACAATGAGTTGTTAGTTCTGGGCATAAACCGAACGATGAACAGTTACAATTTATATGCTTTAACATTTTGTCATGTTTTGTTCTTATTTATTGTTTTGTTACAAAATAAACTTTTAACTTACTGAAAATGGTGAAAATTTAATAAGCGCCCAGCCTCGAATAAGCGCCCACCCTGAAAGTCCAAAAATTAAATAAGCGCCCTGGGCGCTTAATCGAATAAATACGGTAGTACGGTTCCAGTAAAATTTTTGTGTTTGTATGGGGTACAAATATCATCCTAAAATTTCTAGGAAATACTAAATATTAAAGATCAATGAAACTTACTCTGCAGTTAATTGTTGTTGTCCTTATTGCTCCAACGAAGTTTCGTGATAATTTGCAGTAATTTGTTCAAATTCACTCTATCTACAATAATAATATACAAGGTAGGAAACACGAGGTGCCATTTTCGCCGACATGCTCCCATTCAACACAAACTTTTTCCACGAAATTCGAACTCCAACGGAAAATAAACATGCCAGGATCGTAGAAATAGGATAGCAGCAGATATAGAAACCAATGAAGCTTTCCCAGATAGAGAAACGAATCCCACAGACTTGGACAAACTCGAAGAATATAATCCAAACACACCGAGAATACGCTCGCCGAAGCAGCCGGGCCAGATCAACGCGCGGCCAAGAAAATGAAGCCTGGGCACTGTACAAAAAAATTCCATCCCGGGAGTCCTGGGGTGACCTTTCTAGGGACCGATACATCATTTGCCCAAGGCCACCCTCCCCTGCTGGAAAAATACTTGATAGAAGGCAATTGTTCTTCCTAGCCAATCACTATGGCCTGTTACAAAGAGATCATTTTCCTCTCGAACTATATTCAGCTCCTGGCGCTGGTCCTCAGAAAGTTTATCAAACATCAATAGGGCAAGATTATAAGGGCAAAGGAAAGAACAACGAAGGAGGATTTACAAAACTTAAAACGACAAAAAGATATAAGTGAATTTTGGCTCTTACCGAGGCATTTGTACAACAGGACCAAATTCAAAGAGAGGTGTATCTCGATGATTCACATATTTAACCGATAGAGCGTTCACTTGTATTGACAAGAAGTCGGCGTGTTACTGCCGCATTAATCGCTAAATATGTTAATCGTGCTAGTTCTTTGTTTACTAGTGCACGTGCCTTTCACATTCGTCTCAGTTATCGCAATTCATATTCTGTCGCAATTTTCTGTATAATTTTTGACATTAGTTTGTAAGCTTCACCGTTTATTTACGATAGTTTCGCTCGAGAGTTCACAGCAACAGTATCTCAGTCATCATCTACCTTTTGTTCAACCTTGTTTTTAACCCGCCTTGTAAGCATTTCGCGTCGTTTTTTCATTAGTTTAATTACTGTTATTTGCATTCCTTAGTAGAAGAAATGGGACGCCTTGTAACTCCGCAGACTCTCCTGATTATATTACTTTTTTTTTAGCCATTTAAATTCAGGCGCGTGTGCGGGGTTTGCTCTGGCAAATGGTGATTAGCTAAGAAGAACAATTGCCTTCTATCAAGTATTTTTCCAGCAGGGGAGGGTGGCTTTGGGCAAATGATGTATCGGTCCCTAGAAAGGTCACCCCAGGACCCCCGGGATGGAATTTTTTTGTACAGTGCCCAGGCTTCATTTTCTTGGCCGCGCGTTGATCTGGCCCGGCTGCTTCGGCGAGCGTATTCTCGGTGTGTTTGGATTATATTCTTCGAGTTTGTCCAAGTCTGTGGGATTCGTTTCTCTATCTGGGAAAGCTTCATTGGTTTCTATATCTGCTGCTATCCTATTTCTACGATCCTGGCATGTTTATTTTCCGTTGGAGTTCGAATTTCGTGGAAAAAGTTGTGTTGAATGAGAGCATGTCGGCGAAAATGGCACCTCGTGTTTCCTACCTTGTATATTATTATTGTACTTAGAGTGAATTTGAACAAATTACTGCAAATTATCACGAAACTTCGTTGGAGCAATAAGGACAACAACAATTAACTGCAGAATAAGTTTCATTGATCTTTAATATTTAGTATTTCCTAGAAATTTTAGGATGATATTTTTACCCCATACAAACACTGTAATTTTACTGGAACCGTACTGTGGTACTATCACAGAGCCTGGGTTACCTGTGATATAACTGCGAAACCTAAAGACCGTAAGACAACGGTGATGGTAAATTGTTTCTTTGCACCTGTAGAATACTTCAGTGTAATATAACAAAAATAATTTGGGTATCAACGCTTTTTTATTAGAAATAAATACATTTTTGTCTGAAAACATGTTTTTGTATTTGCCCTCGGGACAGAGCCCTCACCTGCCGAGAAGCAGCAAAAATTCAAATGCATGCCGACGCAAAAAAATATGAATATTTTCAATGTGCTCACAGAAGCGTATAGTCCGAGAAGTTTTCAATTTTTACAGTTGTTTATAAATAAAAAAAAAAACTAATCTAAGAGAAACTAAATCTCACTAGCCCTTTTTTTATAGCCGGCCGGAATGGTAGCACTGAGATGCCTTGATCAAAAGTCTTATCATATCCTGTAGAAAAATGAAAGTTGTTCAGACGGCCTGATCAATGTTTACTTCCTTACGAGACTTGTTTCTTCTCGTTTACTGTGTTGTCTACACTCGCGTCATCACGGTCCTTAATTTACAGCTTAAGCCTGACGCCTTAATTCATTGGCACTGCACGAGATAACGATACACAACACTTGCTTCAAAGATCGGAAATACTGAAATAACCCATTAAAACTGCGATGAAAGTGTTTTCTGTTCTGCCACTGTTTCTTGTGATCCTGTCTGTTTCAGGTGAGCCGAGTTAACACTCCGCGAAGGGGGGTGATCTGCGTTGACTGCAACGAAGACGACAACGAGCAAAAGTAGAATTCCCAGTTTTCATTGGTTACCAGTTACAATTAACTCCTTCACTCGTACAGTGGCCAAACAGTGAATTCACAGAAAAATATTGTAAAAATTGAAATTTTTTTTGGTAAAATCCTAAGAGATAAATAGCACTATGCAGAAGTTCTGTCAAAGAGGTTTTATTTGAATGATTACTAGCAGAATTTCACTGGTCAATAGAATGCTCTTATTGTAATAAGTCGCAACTACAATCAAATCCAACAGCTGATCCAAGATGACAACTACATTTTTTGTCAACATGTAAAAGATATGAAAGGTAACTAAACAACGCAGCAGTCAAATTTTGGGGACTTGATGATTTTGTAAACTAAATTAATCGTCTACAATGGTGATTTTCTGTTTAGAACTAATTACACAAATCAAAGCTTTGAAAATCGTTGAAGAAAAAAGAAGAAAAGTCCCCATAAAAAGGTTTATCGATTCAGTCACTGTACCACTAAAACTCAATTGTCTTTAAGGTTTCCTTATATTCACTCCATATGTAACCACGATTGAATACACCGGGGCCAGTCTTTGAAATATGTCCGCGTACTGATCGTCGATCAACTGAATAATCCGGCAGTGTTAACAAATTTACGAATCTCAGCATTGAATCAAATATGCTAAAATTTTTCTTGCGACGTCTTTTTCTAATTGGCGGCATTTAACGTATGAATCGACTCTGATTTGAAAACAACTTGGCCTAGCGTTTATGAGATTTCACAGCCGGAATGACCAGTAAGGATAATCTTAGTAACCAGCGATCAGGCAGGTTAGTCGTTATGCCATATAGTACTCGGTTAAAACAATCACTAAAAGAAAGTGCATGCACACGTACAGTCCGTAAGAGGAGTATATCTATCAAATTAAGTCAGGGGTCTGTACGGTTTTCATATTCCGCCATATCAGCATTTACAGCATACACGACAAGGTTTTTAATCTAACTGTCAATCGACTGATTCATACTTTTAGGGTGACTATAAGACGTAAATGACTATATGGTCGATCGGAAGAATGATTGAGCGTCGGCGACTTTCCGTTGAAGATCAAACTAAAAAGCGTGAATGCAATGCTACGTCGATACCATATAATTATTGACTAAAAATTTTTCCACAAAACACGACTTATTGCACAGAAAGAAAAGGGATTGAGGCAGACTCCTCGGGATAGCCCTTAATACACCCATGCACGGGAAGTGATGTAAAGTTTTGAAAAATATCGCAAGAAGACTCTCTACTAATCATTGACAACTGTGGCAAATTGGCTGCCGAAGAGACAAATGAAACGCTGCATGGGCCGAGTTGTTTTAGACTAAGTGGTAATCAAGCCTAAACTCTAAAGGTTTGAAATTCCCTATGACTAGGAAAAACCTTGCGAATATGATATTTTCCTTTTCGGGGTAAAACTTAAGAAAAGCGCGCATCATAATCTTGAAGGGGCAATACAAAGGAATTTTTTTTTCATGAAGTTGTTAAAATCATGCATGAGAGACCTGCTGCAAAAATGAAGATAACTAAAGAAGCATGTAAAAAGGGAAGTGAAGTATCTTCAACGGACAAAATGAATCTCACAAGTCATGCACTCATACTAGGATAGTGGCACAGAGTCTCCGACAGAATCGTTGATTAAGATGTACATTTTGTAAAACCAAAACAATTGCGAGCTACTTGCATCCGGCCAGTGGAACAATGTTTACTTCCGCAAAAGACTTGTTTCGACTTGTTTCGTTTGCTGTGTTCTAGGCTGTTCCGACTCACACTAGTCACTACTTATATTCAGTTTTCCTTGACCTATCCCTTCAGTGAGACAGTGCAAGATTACGGATACACAGCCTCAAGTTTCAGACGCAAAGAAAATCCAGAAAGACCGCAATGAAACTGTTTTCAGTTCTGCCAATGTTTCTTTTGATGTTCTCCGTTTCAGGTAATCCGGATTGACAGCGTTTTAAAAAAGTCGAATGAATAGTGAAAGAAGACTGCTCGGCTCGCAAAAGGGAAAACTTAATCCGCGTTTTCCAGCGGATTAGATCCTGGCCTAAAAAATGCGTCGCAGTGGCGAGCGAAACTGCTTAACTTTTGTTTAGCAGTAGCTATTACCCGAAGTTTTAAACTACCTAGAGGAAGAGTACCGCTAGCTACGAAATCAGCCGTCAGATCCCGTAACTCGAGGAAACCGAGTGGCTATGATACAAGTGGTCAATTTAAAGTGAATCGCCTTCTGTAATATATTTGGATTACAGCGATTGAAATTGATACAAAACTAGGCTAAAACGTGAACTGATTTTAAAGTCTTCATCTTTTTGTCACCACCACGATATAAAAAAGTAGCAAAGCTTGCAGCTCGATTCCAACGTACTTTCGTCGTAGCCATTTCACAACCGCGTAGGAGATCGAGTCTAACGTTTTTTTTAGTCTTGTGTTCCTCGCTGTAAGGAGAGAAGTCGAATCATTTCTTGTTTATTTCTAGGTTATTGCCCTGGAAGTTGGAAACAGTTCAAAAGCTATTGTTACATCGTGAGCAGCCACATTACGACTTGGCAAGGGGCTCAGTCGTACTGCAAAAGGTGGGGAGGAGAACTGGTAAAGATCAACAGCTTTGATGAAAACGAGTTTGTACTGAAGCTGGTTCACAGCCGTGCGCCATCGCTGAAACAAATTTGGATCGGACTCAAGTGGAATCCAAGCGTCAACAATTTCATTTGGTCTGACAACTCAGTTCCATTCTACAAGTTCTGGGCTCCGCGTGAACCGAATGGAAAGTCCAGGGAGCCATGCAGCAACATGTGGATTGCGCGAACCTCCCTGCCTTACCATGCTTCTGGTTACTGGAATGACCGCCCCTGTGGGATTGTTTCAGGATATCCTTGTGGATTTGCCTGTAAGAAGCTGGCATAGTCGGGAGGAAAAACTCATTGCCGCCCAAGATAAAAGCCTGAACTAGTGGGGAGTAGCGATTAGAATGTTAGACTAAGCTCGGGATTTATCATGCGTGACCGATCGCGATGATAAGTATTGTGAACAAAGACAAAATAAAATAATTTTTATGCAAATGTAATACAATGGCGGCTTGAAAATAAAACAATAACCATGACATTTTTGTTTGTTATTTAACACTCAATTTGAAAAAGAAAGAGTACCCTCTAAGCTTTTTTTTTCAGTAGTCGAAAACCCAATTTCTTTTTTCAATGAGCCAAAACACCCTGAAGTAATAAGTACGTAGAGATGACGTAAATGACAAATTATCTTCCGCCAGTTGTCATAAGCCAGCTAATAAATAGGAGGTCTTTCAATTTTTGAAAGTGACTGACCTACTTTGACAGCCCTTGCGGAAGTCATATCATCAGACTCACACATGTCAAAATGTCAATCAAAATGTCAAAATGTCAAGTCACGTGTCACGAATAGCCTCATGTCACGAGTCACCAATAGCCTCTGAGGACTAGTGTTAAAGTGAGAGGATCACGTTCAATCAGCATAATAGTGGCGTATGTTTGACCTACGACTGAGCATAGCTCTAAAAAAATAATATAGTACAGCTCTCCAACCCCTCAGAATCCTTCATTTTTCTGCAAGCTATTTATATCGATAACAACAAATAATGTTTTCTTATTTCCAAACAGTGGATTCGAATGGCCCTGATCATCTACGTAAACGGTTTTTCAGTCGTACAATGATCATAGTCGTGTGTCCTGCCGTGATAAAAGACTCTTAAAATAAAAGTAAATTTTCACGGGCTGGTAGACTGCGAAACAGATACCCTAACGCGTCACCCCGTACATTAATGTCCGAGATTCTTACGGAGATCAGAGATTCACATAAATGTGACTGTTTCGCTTTGGAGAACGACAGAGATCCGATCGATTACCCTTTCTACAGTAAGCATTCACATAATATGTGACTGTATGCCTACACCAGATATTTAGTCGAATACAGTACTCATACATATTCTGGGTCGCGGCCAAAATAAATTCTTTAGAGAAGTGAATGATAATAAAGTGTCGTCAGTTTCCCATCCCTTGGATCATGGTGTAGCTACACGTCATCAGATTTTTTTTTTTTTCTTTTTTTTTTTTGAAAGAGTACATTCGCATCTTTCTTCTGTATAAACTGGAAGCCCACTTTCGTCTTGAACGAGCAGAAACTTCTTCAAACACTACGGGGCAGTAGCAAAAACCGCGCTTTCTTATTTCGAGGTTACTGTTGACATCATTCAGTGTTGCCTTCATCGGCTAGCAGCGAGATCTTTGATGGTTGGTGAGGTATTATAGTACTTTTTTACCTGCTTTTGTTCAGGGCTCCTTGAAATCTATTTTCACAACTTAATTCACGCTTTGTAGCTCGTGCGGAGGTCATGTCATCAGACACATGGCGG